GGGCCGGCTTCCCCCCCAAGGGAAAACCGACACAGACCCCAAACCGAACGCTCCAGCCGGCAACGCCGCCCGAAAGGGGTTCCCCCCCCTCCGCCCCTTTGCGTGAGGGGGGAGCTGCACCCGCAGCCCCGGCTTCGGTGCCGTTAACGCCCCCCGAGCCTTCCCCCGGCTTGGCCCCAGCAGCCCCGGCGGTCTCCGAGCCCCTGGGTCAGAACGGCTGCCGGGGCAGGGTTTGCTCACCCAACGGCCCTGGCTCAGACCCCACGGGTTTGGGTCTGGCAAGTTTGACATCAAACTAGGAAGAAAAAGTTACGACCTGGACTCTTCAGCAAAAACGTTTGTTGTTTTAAAAGGGCAACCGGTGGCACAATGGATTTAAGAGGTAACACGCCAGCGCTTCCATTTAGAAAAGGAACCGCCTGTGGAGCAGCGAGTCTGACTGACCCCGTCGCACCGTACCCCCCCGCTGCATCACCGGGCAGAACTGCACCCAAGTTTAGGCTCTTACTGTTAGTGCGGGGTCAGCCTACGTCGCGTTGCAGTCTAGTTTTTTCTTATACTGTTTCTTGAATTTCTTTAAATAATTGAAATCCCAGTGTGAATATGAATTTACTTGTACGTACGACCCAGAAAGTACAGCATGTTTAAATCTATCAGAAACCTAGGCAGAGCACGTGAAGCAATAGTTGTTCAAATAATGATATTTGCTGCATCTATCTTACGAACCCACCTACAAGACTGTCCTTCCTGGCAGGCGATGCCCAAGAGTACCGGCACACCACAGTGATTTCTCTGATATTTAGCCTGTGCATAAATGTCTGGAAGTTGCAGCTAGAAAAAGAAACGCTCTCAATTCTCAGACTTACAGAGCACACAGCCAAGATGCACTGCCCAGCTCCTCTGCTTTGAGCTGCGTCAAAAGCAAGAGTTCAGGAGCGCAAATAGAGTTACCTGAAAGAAAGGGCAAGGACCAAAGTAGGTTGCTTGTTGTCTCTCCCCCCTGCACACAGGGATCACAGCCACCAAGCACTGCACTTCAAACATGGTCCCGACCTATTTACTTGTGGCCCAGGAGTGGTTTTTAAGCTTTCACAGCTGCTGCTGAACATCAGATGTTCCACACACATACCTGACCGGGATGCTTATGCTGGTTAAAGACTTACCTAATGCTTTTTACACACAACATTTATGTTTCAGACATGAATCTGGAAACATAACTTGAAGGGCTTATGCCTCGTGTTACTCCATATTCCATGCTTTAAAATAGATCATTCCCTAAAAATACCTCTTCAAGGGTTTTCAGCTCCTCATGACTTCTATAAACCTTTCTGAAACCTGTGGCAGACAACAAAAGTCTGCCTCCTGGTATGTGCTATTATTCACTAGCCCTCAGATTTCTCTCAAGTTAGACAGTGCTCTGTGAAGGCAAGTAAAAGATTTACATTAAATCCTACATATTTATAGATGTTTAAAGACAGTGTTAAGCAAATCAGTTTCATCCCACTCCTGTGCATTTTCAGCACCCAGTATAAAATCAGTTCAAGGCGACTGTAAGTGCAGCCAAGAAACAAGTGCCGCAGAGCACACGAGTACAATCTGTTGGAATGCCAAGTAAGGAAACAAGAACTTTACAAGGCTGACCTGTTTCTGAAACATCCTGTGGACCCTCATGTTATTCAGAGAAAGCAAAGCCAGCTCTTTTTAAAATTTCAACTTGCTGGGATAGTGTAAACCTTTACAAAACCATCCAGAAGGAGCAGCAGCATCTGCAAGGTTTGCTTTGGATTGTACCAAGCAGCTCCTTATGTTCAAAGAAAGCAATAACAGAAAATTACCCTGATTCGTAGGTTCTGTCCTCAGCTCCTGTATATTAGCTTCAGCATCCTGTGAAACAAAATCTGTTACCTTAGAAGAAGGCTTAGATAAATAGGACTCCTGCATTTGAGGGAATTGTACACAACCCAATCAAGCTCTTAACACAAAGCCCGTGCAAGTGGTATTTACGTGGTCTGCATTTACCTTTTATGCAAGTAATGGAACATGTTACACAGTTTCCCCCACGCTTTTGTAAGACAGAAAATTGCTCACAGTAAGCAGCCGCGTTTATATTAATACCAAAGCCATCAGTAACTGTTTAAGTATCTTTTTTAATTTTCTTACAACCACTTAAAACTGTCATATACCACAAACTTATGTACACTATTTACAGACAAAACAAGCAAAATATCCATCCAAAATATTTTTTTAAAAAATCCTCTGATTAAATTGTTACACCTGCTCAAACAATGGTGGGACTTAATAGGCATATTTTCTTGTGCATGTTTCTCTTCCATGTAGTACTTCAGTCTCACTGCATATATATATATTTAAAAGTTAAAGAAAGATAAAACAACAAGCAGAAGGGACACAACACAATATGCTTTTAAATCTTTGTTTAAGAACAAGCAGCTAATTAAAAAAGGCAAAATACAGGAAAAGTGCATCAGTTCCAATGAGTTAGTATAAGAAAGAGGCCCACAGGTGGAGAGCAGGTACCCTTTAGGGTAAAGTCTCCTAGAAGACCTGATTGTCTACAAAGATTATTTAAAATTTATTTTAAACAGAAATTAAAAAAAAAAAAAAAAAGAAATGAAGGAGGAGAGGAGAAACATGACACCTCCAGAATTTTTTTTTCCACGAGGTTCCTTGGAAACTGGTGCTCAACAACTTTCAGAGTGGGCAAGAATTCATTTGTGCCCAGACCTCATTGTTCATTCACGCAACTTGAGCGAGCCGTCCCCGTGTCTCAAGCAGAAGGCCTGTTCCTCTTGAACTGTGCAAGGCTAGAGGACTTCCACAGGCTCTGTGCCCATGCTTGTGCTAAGTCAGCTAGACCTACTGCCTCTGAATT